TGCGGCCCCGGCGGACCGGCGAGCTCCCTCGGCGCGGTGAACCCTCGTCCCCGCGGCACGTTTAAGAGTCGTTTTAATCTGCCTGAACTTCCCAACAAAGCTGGTTTCTGAAGGAAATTTCCACTGCTGCTGCTCTTTCGCACCAGAGGGCGCCGGGCTCCTTCCCAGGCTGGTGTCTGCTGCGTGTCTGGCGTTTGTGCTTTCAAGTGTTGCTGGAAATTAACTCTTTGGTTTCTCGCCCTGGTGGCTTTTTCACGCTTCCGTGAAAAGTATACTTCTCCTTTGAAAATATACCGCCGCTATTCGAACAGCTTTTCGCTGAAAGCCCTCTTTAAAAATCATTTTATTTTATTTTATTGCGCCACCCTTGTGTGGCGAGCTTTCACAGTGCTGCGAGGGCTTCAAGCCTCCTGCAGCAGCCCCAAAAGGAGTCTCGGGAGATTTACAGCTTCTCTCTGTCTCTGCTGACTTGGTTCTCATTAAGGCACTGGATCACGTTTGCGTGACATTACCGTGTTTTCCCTCATAATCGTCTGGGCTAAAGGTTTGTCTGGCTGTGCTTAAGCTTAAAGGGTCACTTAGGGCTCTTTAAAGAGAATAACATTGAAGCACGACACCGAAGGAATAAGCAAGTAAAATGTTCCAAGCGCTTTCGCTTTAACACCTGCGTTGCTCACGTTTGTGCCCCAAAGGTGCAAGAGCAGCCTATCGGTATTAATGCTGCGTGGGCAAAATTTTTAACAGAGGGAGAGGTGAGGAAACTCGGAGTTAGGTTTCCCGTGGCAACTGCAACACGGGCATCTCGCAAGTGCATGGCGTTTGTGCCTGGTACCGTTTCTGTGCTTTAAGCGCTGTGGCTGATGCTGGTGGTGTTAGACCCTTAATTTTCAGCCCTATGCGTTGCAGTGTGCGCAACCGTGCATTGCAGTGGCAAACGCAGGATTGTGCGTGAGCCAGTGACTCGCACTGGGTACCTGCATGCTGTTAAACCAGGGGCAGGGTAAAGGCAAAGAAAGGCACCCTGCTGAAGGAGTTAGCTACAGTTTAAAAAGTTGGAGAGTGAGTAACCTCAGCCCAAACAGCAATTATTTCGAGAAATAGTAGAAGATGTGAGGGATTATAAACCTTAAAACACAGCTAGACCGTTTTTTGTGTTTCTCTTCTTACTTAAAAACAAAATCAGGAAGGTAATCTGGAAATATTTGCAGTGTATCTTGTTTTGTTCACTCCTGATAGGAATATATATCAATCCTGGACAGAAATGATGACAAAGAGCAGGTGGGCAAATCTTTATATTTATTCATTTATTTGCTTGTTTTAGCAGTCCCTTTCCAAACATTGTAATCCAGATTATGAGGAGCTATTGACTCTTGCTTGAACGGTAAGAGGCAATTTAGTTGCCTGTCCTCTTTTTCTCCCCATTACTCTCTCTGAAACATGCTCACCTGAAAACTACAACAGAAGCATTTCCAAAACTACTCACTGCCTGCATATTAGAGAGAAAAGAGCATGCAGGCCTGAATGTTGATATCTGGTGATTCGAGTTGTAATATGATGTATCCTTTTATTGCGCGAATGCTGAGACTTTTCCTTTTCCTTTTTTTTTTTTAAAACCTTCTAGGAAGCTCAGAAACTTCTCTTCATAGTCGATATATTTTTTTGTTACCGTGCCATTTAGTAATACCAAACTAGATCAAGAACCCATCAGTGTAGGCACCGTACATATGCATACTAGATATTTTCTAACTTAATTTATAATCCTAAAAAAAAATGCTCAGACCAAAAAGGAAGAGAAATCGAGTATTATTGCCACTTCAGATTTGGGAGAAAATGGGTTTCAGAAGAGCTAATGCTTAAGTTTAAGTAAAAGTCTTCGACCAAGCCAGCAACTAAAACAGCACCTTTTCCCCAACTCATTAACAGGTTATCCTTTAGTTTTCTTTGAAACTGTACAGCTGAGAAATGTTACTATTTTTTGTTCTTATTTGTCTTCATTTCAGTTCGTAGTTGTGCCCATATAAATCATCAAAACCTAGCAGTTTGAAATAAATGTCTGCAATTAGATAGATCTAGAGGATGCAGTTAAAAAGACAGGCAGGTATGCTGTTTATCTGGGTGATAGTTGTTCATTTTGTGAGAACCGGTGTGGTGATGTTGATTTTGAAGGGACGCCAAACAAGCTTACTGGAAGATGCGTGAATAAGGGAACTAGGGGAAGGTACTTTAGAGAAAACCTTCTACTATTGCATTAATTAATTAATTTACATTACTCTAAAAGACAGGAGAGGGGGGGAAAAATAGAAGCAGAAAGAGGAAAATAAATACTTGAACATGTCATTTCTATGTTTCCTGTAACTTTTTATCAAGAAGTTAAATTTGCTTTTACTATTTGCCTGTCGTTAAGGCTCAACAGAGATGTGAAATGTATGATCTAAAATATTATTCTAAAAAGCAAGCAGAAAACAAAAGCTAACAAAAAACACTTTAACAGTGGAGACTGGTGGAAAAACTCAGTTGAAGGAAATGATGTTTATCCTTATTTAAATTAAAATATGGATTTTAGTAATTTATGGACATATTTCTTGTCTCATTTAATTTGGCATTTATCAATCATAAAAGGGAAAATGCATCAAAGGCTGCTAAATTTACTAATAGTCTGCTCCTCTTAAAGGACCAGCTTTTATCACTTAGTAGTTTATCTCAGAGCAAATAAGGCACTGTGGTGTGTATTGTACAAAAGGATCCTAAAAGGTAATTGCAGCATTGCAATAATAAATTTAGTGATACACTGTGTTTGTGTGCCTAATGAACTGTGGGTAGCAGAACTGCGGTATTCAGAGCCTACTTACCTTTAACTTCATAGAGATCTCAGCTGAGGGTGTCCGTGAAAGTGAATGATGCTTGAGAACTTGTTTGATTTTTTTTTTTTTAAACTTCTTTTTTTTTTTTTTTTGCCCTTCAGAGAAACTTCTTGCCTCTCTGAGCAAAACAGGAAAAAAAATCATGTTAAAATGCATCTTGGCCCTTATGCTACTTCCGTTGAAGTTGATGGTAAAAGCCTCTTTGACTTCACTGGAAACAGGACTGGGCCATTTTAGAAGCTGTGCTGTAATATACATCTTTTAAATATTTCCATACAGTGGAGCAAAGAAGTCTCAAACGTCATCAGAAAGACTGCTTCTTGTTAGGCTGCTACAACGTGCTATTTTTGTTCAAATAACATTTACTAATACGAGAGACAAATATATTTATAAAATTTGGAAGTCTGACATTACAGTTGGGTGTTCACAGCTTTTATGCATTACAGTATTTACAAAAATAATTTTAACTTTTCAGCTGCGTGAAACAAAGCAGCATTTCCTCATCGAGCCTTTCAGCTTAGCCGTACTGAAGTGCAGCGCAGAATTTGGTTACAGTTAAGCTAAAATCAAAATATCCCAGGACCTGTATGGAGAGGCAGGGGTGGGAGGAGGGGAACGGAAGGAGGTAACGATCTGCTTCTCCAGCTGTGCAGTCTTCTGCCTCCGGGACCTCAGCGAACTGTAAGAGCTGATCTTCAGTTTGCTTCTTCCCTCCTACACCGTGGCTTTAGAAAGGTTTAAGAAGGAGAAAGGTGGCAGAAAGAGCACTCAGCGTGTCCAACTCCGGGAAGGTCTAGGGGGTTTCCTTCTCCAGATATACTGGGATTTCAGGGTTCAAAACCTGAAACTCTCTGTCCTCTAGAGTTGCATCCTGCCCAGCACCTTGTCTTACCCCTAGGGACACACTGCAGTAAGCGCTATTTCCACAAACGAGTTTTTTGTTTGTTTGTTTCCTGGAATTATTTTGGCTTGATAAGTACAACTGAGTAGCATTCATGTAGACGTTTAGGTCTTATCAGTGATCTTTTAACATGGGGTTTTGTTCAAATCACAATTTACCTGCTCGCTTGCCAAATACCGCTACAGGTCTCTCTCTTTGTATTTTGTATTTCCAGTCTCTTGTATCTACCTGTGGTCTCTTGTCACCCTTGTCTTGTAAGCTCTTCAGGACAGGAATCATCTTTGTAGTTGGTGTTTTTTCAGCATCCTCTGTAGTGCCCCAGGTTTACAAATACTGATGATAAGCTGCCCTCACCTGAAGGAAGGCAGACCTATCTTTTTAATCCGTATTTCCAAGTAGATGGTGATTAGCAGAGAGACAAAAAATAGAAAAGAGTAAAAGTGAGAGGTGGCGGTATACAGCTGGGCGAGAAAGGCGATGCACTTCTGTTGTCTCAGGAGGTACCTGCTGCTTCTTGTAAGCAGTGGAGGTCCTAGAAATGTCTAAAGGCATACTGCAAGGGAAAGCAAAGCTGAAAGCTTCAGGCTGTAAAACCGTATGAAGGAAAGACATCTTTTTATGAAACC